GGGGCCAGTTTCTGGAAGTGTTCCATGCAAATCATCCATCCCCCTCCCCCCAAATAAAACCACCCAACAACCCAAAAACAGCACCACAGCAACCCGGTCAAATTAACATAAGCACGGCTTTTATCTGTATTAAGGTTTGATATGGGCTGATCGGACTTCAGCCCGTTACTTGACTCGCAGTTGGATCCTCCCCTCCCGTCCTCTCCCACATACCTCTGCTCGGATCCGAACGAAGACCCGCTCCAGGTTGTTCGAATTTGAGTTGCCTATCCGGGCGTCGTCTCCTTCTATCTGCAATCTTCCGCCCCGCTTGATTTCTCGAGTCAACCAACCCACACGCCTCCACGACTTAGGTCTCCCTGCCCCGGTCCACACCCACAACAATGATAGTCCACTTTGCTTCTAATCCCCATCACACAGGTAAAGCCCGAGTGGCTCAGTGGTAAAGCGTCTCACTAGTATCCGGTTCTCCGGCCCGAAATGAGAAGATCGTCAGTTCGATTCTGGCCTTGGGCACTGTGTAATCTTTTTGGTGCACTTGATGATGCGAGACTCACTTTTTGTCTGTTTCTCGTCCTCATAGGCGTGCGTGTACACACAGGGTGCTGAAGACTCAAATCATATAATCTGGAAAGGCGACGCTTAAAAGTGAGACGGTATGCTCTCTACGCTCAGGACTTGCGATGTTCGTGGAGTAGAGAGTGATTGCTATCATGAATGCCTATGGGGACTCTTGTTCAGAACTATGTTCTCCAACCCTGGTCTTCGCCAGTACACCGACAAGGGGTAAAAAATCTTCTTCTTCCATGCTTCAACGTTTCCAACAATCGTTCCAATCCGTATCCGTACACGACCACGCAATGGGTTGATCCAACATGTTCAACTCCAGTCACTTCATGATTTCAGTTCCTCTCGTTTCCAACATGTCTTTGCCGCAACTTGTCAGTGCCAAGTAAAATGTCAGCCGTGGCGTATGCGACACGTTCATTGCGACTGCTTTCATACTTACCAGCTGCCGGAGCATCTGAACCAACTCACTTCTCTGCCGGAGAAGACACAATGGGGAGTTTCTTCTCTTTCTTAGCTTCACGCTGGTTCTGCAGTTGGGCGATGCCGCTTCTTCGTTTCTTTTCCATCGGGCCCATGGGTCGATGTTGAGTCTTAACATGATCGGAAGCGTTGTGAGTGTAACCTCTGGGGCTTTCGTCATCCTCTCCGTTGCTATCCTGGTCGCTTGCGGCAACTGCCTCGTTGCCATCCAACCTGTTGGCAATGTTGACAATATGCTGAACCATGGTTGACTGCGCGTTTTGACCCACCACTGTATCTCTGCCTTTGGCCCGCTGATTCTGATTTCCGCTTCGGGACTTCTGTTCGGTTCTCTTCACCGATCGCTTTCTCTCGGGTCCCTTGTTGTATGATAGGGGGCTCAACACCCTCTCGGCAATTCGTTTGGGGGCGCGACGCCAACCATCAGGTGACCTGAACCCCTCGACAATCTTCGTCTCAGACACTGGCTGTAGGTTTCCAGTGAATACGCGGGCTCTACCCTTCCTTATGGGAGTGTGAGGATCTTCTAATTGCCGAAAGGTAGATCGGCGGTGGGCTGATCCTTCGTCGTCGGACAATGTTCGAGATACGACGACCGGTGACGCTCGGTTCTGAATGTCGATGCTCTGATGAAGGCCAGGTGTCGACGGGCAAAAGTCAGCGCAGGATTCTACATCATCTCGTTAGCCAAAGCTTGGGCGCAAGTCTGAGGCCACTCTTACCATCAAACTGCGAATCGCCATGATCGAGCTCATTGACGGTGGGTGGATTGGGCAGCGTGTTGCTTCGACGTCTGCTACCAGCCGCTCTCGTTGGAGTCGAGTGACTGTTGGTGAGCGGAGAATTATCATGCGGGAATCCTGCGTAGCTTCCTCTATCTGGGACCCTAGCCACTGGAAAGTTAGGCTCGTAGAGAGGGCCTGGCAGGGTGTTGATGGGTATTAAGCCCAGAGTGTTGGGGTCCACGCTACGCTGATTCAACACCTGAGGCTTGTTGCCACGTCGTCTTCGAAAAGATGGAACAAATCTGGTACGAGGCGATAAACGTACACTAGTCGTAGAGGGAACCGAGGAGCTCGGGGGCTCTCTGGCTGCGCGATGCGCCTCGCGCCTCAAAGGGGCTTCCGTAGCAGGACCGGCATTTGAAGTTGTTGAACTGCGCAGGTCAACCCTGCGAGAAGTGCCCCCTTGCTGTGGGTTTGGAGCCTGTGCTCTCGTCGATGAGGTTTCCCTGGGCAAAGCATTCTAGGCGTTTGAAGTGGGTTGGTCTTGACGTGCATCCTGGGCTCTCTGTTCCGAAGCGGTCCTCTGCACTGTGACGACTCGGATTTGAGGCTTGGTTGCTCTTATAGCCATTCTTGTCGTCACGCTGAGTCCCATTGAGCTTCCAGGGTTTCCTGAACGCGATTGACTCGTCTGAGTGGTAGCGTGTGTGGACGGAGCGGGACGCGTGCTCGGTCGACTCGCCTGGTCGATGCTTCTCGTGTCTCCGCCAGTTTGAGTGCGGGTAGAGGAAGCAGATGCATTTGGATCTACCGAAGGTCGAAGACTGAACGTATTGTTCTTCTTGGCAGTTGACTTTGGAGCTGACTTTGCTCGACGGTTGCTGCGGCTCACTGTTCCAGCTGCTGCCGTATTTTTGCTGTTAGACGTTGTTCCTTCCGAAGCCGTCCCTTTCGATATGACATCGAGTTGAAGTCTGACACGATCGTCTTCATCTTCGGACTCGTCATCTTCGACAGCAAAGCCCGATACTCCTCGCGCCGAGCATCTCTTGACGGATTTATCTTCATCGTCGGGGAACAGAAGATCGCGGAGATCTTTCTGAGGCAATAGGCTGTCTTCAACGAGGTGACCCCGGGGTCCTCTCCGCATTGGATGTTTGTCGTCAGAATCGCGGTAGAGAGATGATGGGATTCTGAAAGGGGACGAATCTGGGAAGCGTCCATGACGAACCGGCGGGTTGTTAACCAGAGGATGCGAGCCATGTTGTTCAACAAAGAGGCCTTGATCGCCAAATTCGACTTGAGACTTGTTCCCCTTAGAAGGGCGAGAGGGTCTTGCAACATCTTGAGATGATGATCCCGCGACTGCACTGCTGGAGGTTGTATCACGTATCATTTGGCTGCGCGGCACCTTAGAAAGAGACAGTCCATCAACTTGTGACGAAATCTCCAGCTGAGAACTCTTGGGAGGAGTGCCAACAGTCGGGAAGTTAGCTGATGATGAGATGGCTCGGGTTTTATGGCCTGCATAAGGGGCAACCTGCCGGCGACCACCACCACCTGTGCTGGCCGAGCGAGAATGCTGAGCAGCGACATGGGCGTACGAGCCGCCCTGGCGACCCATGATCTCAAAGTATGCAGAATTGTAAGTGTGTTTATCACCGGAGGAGGAAGGCCGCAGGGGCGGGAGGATGTGATCACCGGAACCGTCCCGGTGTCGTGAAGCCTCTCGAGCACTGCCAATCCGCCGAGGGTGCAGAAGTCGAGCCGGCTCAGGGCCGTGCCGGAGGTAGTCGTCCGCCATAGGGACTGACCGATCAAGAACCGTGCAGCTCGATTGTCTGTAGTTCGGCTGTTAGTTGTTTTGAGACGGCTTCGTGCTGGAGGAAGGCGCCAAAGCTGCGGCCGAAAGTGCCGATGTCGACGAAGAGACGAGTGGTAAGAAAACAAGACCAAAAATTCCACACACGGCACAAAACAAGAATACCGGATGTTCAAGGTAGAGATGAAGAGGGCAAAGATTTGTTCCTGGGTGTGATCGGGGCTGGTGATGTTTGGGGTGGATGGAGGGTGGTGAACAATCGACGATGAGGTGGTGAGGTGGAAGGAATCAAAACAGAGACGCGGGTTGACGTGGAGACAGGTCGAATTCTAGGTACTTGAGCCATCGCAATAATAAGTACGTACTCCCAGGTTTGTTCTGGACAGAAGGAAGGAGCAACTTCATCCAAGTTCACCTTGGCAGGAGCAACCTGCCCTGGGGACAAGAGGGATGGGGCAAGAGCAGAGTGGGATGGCCTGGTCGTAGCATCCCTTTTGGCCAGGAACAGAAGGAACGGGGAGCTGCGAGCCAGAGCAGCTGGCGTGAAAGCATGAGTAGGATTCTTCAAGAGGAAAGCTCCCGTCAGAGAACTGTTGCCGTGTAGGAGGCTTGTTCATGTGGTGTCGTTGCCATGCTGGTTGTACTTAGCATCTCTTCAACGGCGGAATGGACCGGCTTTCCACCTCCCACCCCATTAATGTTTTCAGCTCGAGGATGTGTAGAACACCAGTGGCTTCGTCTACTGATGTTATAATTGGGGTGACTATCCAAGAAATAGCTTTGTCGAGATGGACGTTGCAAGTTATCCCACGACCAAGAAGATCAAGCCTCGTGGCATTACCAACATCGTCGAGACGCAGTGCAAAATATCCTTAGCCAACATGACCAGGACAAGTTTGGTGTTACTCTTACCGGAGCATCAGACTGCGGTCCCCTCCCCAAAGTAAACTTCCCTCTTCCCCCAGGGTATTGATTTCACAGCCAAGATGTAGCAGAACTTTCAATGATTCAAGAATTGTGTGTACATTATTCTAAGGTGCCTTAGTTGTCTAAATTTCTCAGCTCCGAGGAGCCTAATACTAATATTTATATAGTTTCGGTGCCGTGGCACATGAATTCGTTCGCTAATCCAACCATCACTCCCGTAACGCCATTTCCATGCAGGCATCCCAGTCAAGGAATAAGAGACACACGACACTCGATATCATAGGTATCATGCAAACAAGCCGATGCCAACAGAAGTGAATACAGTGCACCGAACTCCCTCTCCCCCCGCCATCAAAGGACTTTGCTTCATTTCCCCGTCCAGTCCGCACCTCGTCAGCGTCTGACCAAATAGTCAAAGCAGTCGTGAAATGTGTACTCGTCACCAAACATTTTTGAACATGAAAAGGGCGGATGCTTTATCGCAGAATGGTCTTGCAGTCCTGGACACCGCGGGCAATGACGTCCTCGAGCTTCCAGCGGGGAGGCTTGTAGACGCCCTCGAGACCGTTCGCCTTGCGCCACTCCTTCTCCGTCTCGGGTGTGACACCCTCGGGGAGAGGCTCGGCGCCACCAGCAACACCAGTGGAAAATCTGATCTGGAGCTGGTCGGCAATCTCGTCGCAAGCCTGGAGCAATCTGTCGAGATCCTCCTTGTTGTGGGCCGAAGAGACACAGAAACGAGCGCGGGAGCTGATGAGAGGCGTAGCGGGGTAGCCGACAATAACGACAGAGATCTTGCGCTTAAGCATCGCGTGGCTGAATGCGGGCATCTTTCCAGGGTTGTAAAGCATGACGGGGATAATGGGGGAGTCGTCGTGGCCGTAGACGATGAAGCCAAGACGCTTAAGACCCAGGCGGAGGTAGCGAGAGTTGAAAGCAATACGCTCCAGGCGCTCGGCACCTTGACCAGGGCAAAGCTCGCCAGTGATGAGACGGAGGGAAGCCAGAATCTGCATGAGAACCGAGGGGGCGGGCGACTCGCCGTAGATAGTAGCGGCGTTGGTGCTCCTCAGCTTGTCGATAATGGACTTCTCAGCAGCGACGTATCCACCGTTGGCACCGAAAGACTTGGTGAGGGTACCCATGAGGATGTCAACACGGCTAGGGTCAATGCCGAAGTAGTCGCAAACACCACGTCCGCGGGGACCGATGGCACCAATGGAGTGAGCCTCGTCGATGAAGAGATAGAACTTGTACTTGTCCTTCAGAGACATGATACCGGGCAAGTCGCACATGGTTCCCTCCATGGAGTAGAGACCCTCGACGGCAACCAAAATCTTCTTCCACGGGCGGTGCGTGCGGGGCTGTCCTTGAGAGATGGCCTCGCGGAGCTTGCGCTCGAGATCAATCATGTCGTTGTGCTTGAAGGAGGAGATGACGGCACCGGACAGACGAGCACCGACTCTGATGGAGGCGTGGTTGAGCTCATCGGAGAGAATCAGGCAACCCTTGGAGACGAGAGCAGGGAAGGACGAGGCGTTGGTGACGAAACCCATGGAGAAGACCATAGAAGCGGGCTTTCCGACGAAACTGGCGATTTCCTTCTCGACCTCGAGAGCCAGGTCGGATGTACCAACATCGGCGCGAGGGCTGCAAGTGCTGAGAGCGTACTTCTTGACGCACTCCTCGACGGCATCGGCACAGGGACCTTCGGATTGGGCAAAGCCAAGGTAGTTGTAAGAGCTCATGTTGAGGGTCTCAGTGTGGGTTCCGGTGTAGTTGTAAGTTCGGTTGTAGTCACTGGACTCGCGGTCCATGAGGGTGATGTAGCGGCCGGGAACACCGGTGATGGGTCGGGCAAAGCAGTCGTCAATGCGCATCTTGAGTCGGCGGACGTAGAAGTTGTCAAAGTCCTCGTTCAAGGGCGCATAGCCGTTCTGAGGCTTGAGAGCCTGGTAGTGCTTCTTGTCGCCGAACCTCTTGCCGAAGAAGTCGCGAGCATGGCCGAAGAGAATGAGGAGCAGGTAGCTGATGTAGGTGGTGAGGATGTAGTAGTAAGGCGGCTCATCAATGATGGGCGGGTCGAGAGGCTTTCCATCGTTGGACTTGCTCACGTAGCGGTGGCTAGGGTGCAAGAGGGGACCGAATTGAGCATCGTAGCGGCGCTTCTTCTCCGTCTCGAAGGCGGAGGGAGGCGAAAAAAGGGTCGTCGGGGGCTCGCTGTTGTCGGGCTCGTTCGCATTGGCGGTCGAGAGAGAGATGGTAGGCAGGGAGATGGTGGAGGGAGTGATTTGGGTGGAAGAAATATTTTGCTGCTGCATGGCCAAGAGAGCCTGATGGGCAGTCTGGTGGTCCTTATCCTTGGCGCCCTTTGGTGAAGTGAAGAAGTTGGTGATCCGGTTGCCGGAACGAGAAGGTCTCCTTTCCTTCTCAGTCTGCGGCATTGCGGGGGAATGGGAGGTCGAGAAGGGATTCGCAATTCTCCGGGGCATTGCTCTGAGATGCGCTTTGGCAGTCTGTGTGGGACAGGTGCTTTGGATTTGCGAAAAGCGAAAAAGGGGGGTATCGGGAGTCTAGAGGACCAGACGCGCTCGTTGGAATTGAGGTGAATAGAAGCAGAAGCGATGCAGTTCTATGATGAGGGCGGAATTGAAGTTGCTAGAGGAGAAGAAGTCGGTCAGCAAACGGAGCCAGTTGCAATGGAGTCGCCGGAAGTGCTGGAAGAGGCACAGAAGATGCAGGTCTGAGGAAAAAGGGAATTGTCGGTCAGAGTGTCAGTGGCGCACACGCGGTCGCGGAGCAGGCGACCACTGAGAGGGCGAGCCGACAGGGCAGGGCGTTGGGGGCAGGCCATGTACGGCAAGGCCCAACCAAGGCTCCGGCATCCACCAGCTGCGCCTGCACCTGCGTCTCTCTCCAGTTGTCTCCAAGGCGCGAGTGCTGTGCGCCCGACACTTTTGAGCCGAGGGTTTGATGGGAAGCACGACCAGCCCAGGGAGGCGCTAAATTGGACGCTTGACAAGCCACTGGAGCTATCGAGGTGCCGGAACCACGAATTTGGGCTGGCCTGCGACGATTGTGATGAGAAATAACGGTCATTACTCACCAGGACTTTGGAGACTGCTGTTGTAAGCAGAATTCTACCCTCGGGAAGGCTGGAAAGGTTGTGTCGGGTCGTAGTTTGGAGAACGAGGTGGTGTAGGTCGGCTGCACGGGCGGGCTGCAGAGATGACACTCTTTCGTCAGTGACTTCTAGCTGCGCGACGGCTTCGATTTCGCTGCTTGCAATTGAATGCTTGAGAAAAGCAGGAATTGTTGAATGGCCTTGATGAGAGTGGCGGGGAGAGAAGGTGCGAATCTCTGGTGGCTCTGCAATGGCGCAGAAATATTGTTGTCGGGCAGAAAGTATTGCCTTGGGGACTGCCGCGTGGAAAGATCTCAAGGTGAAGATCGGTGTCGGGACGGGGAGACGGGAAAGGGGGGGAAAAGAAGGTGGGAGCTGGCTGCTCTTTCGCAAGTTTTGTAACACTGGCCAGGGGCGAGTGAGGAAAAAAAAGACGAAAGACGGATTGTCGATTTCGGTTGGTCGCGCGATGGGATTGGGCCGCCCCGTGATTTTAAAATTGGTGCGGGTGGGCGCTGCGAGAGAGAGGGAGAGACAGAGGCCTGGGTCTCTTCCAATGTTGCTGCTTGCTTGCTGTTGCTGCACCGAGAATGAGGTGAGGGTGAGGTACCTTAGCCCGGCGGCGAAGAGTGGGTGTCGAGGTAGGTGCCTTACGCGGGTAGGTACGCGGGCGGGTTCTTTTTGTTCGTGGACGGTCCAGAAGGGTGCCTGAGCTTTTTGAGCTTTTTACAGTGCGGCGCCGCCCTGCGATTGGCTGTCCGTCGGGCTGTTCGGGAGGTAGCGCTCCGCCAGCAGCAGTACCTAGCAAACGGCCAGAAGCCTATTTGCTACGTCACTCCTTGCTAATGAGATGCTAATAAGCTGTTGTTGTTCCTTTGTGTGTTTGAATCCCGGAGATATGGGAAACAAAGAACACTGTGGATGGGAGTCCAGTCTCTCCAGGGCGAGGAGGGGATTCGCTGAAGGAGGGGGACGGGTAGAGACCGAGGGGGAGGAGGATGAGGAGAGGAAGAGAAGAAGAAGAAGAAGAAGAAGAAGAAGAGGCTTGAGCAGAGGGGAAATGGATGAGAGAGGGAAGGGCCGAGAATTAAGATGAAGATGACGGCCGATGAGGGAAAAAAAAAAAAAATAATAACGAGAAAGGTCCACGATGAAGGAAAATTACCGCGCTGGCGGGCTTTGCTTTGAGGCCGCAACAAGAAAGGGTACTCTGCAAGTACATTTTCTATGTGCGCAACACCAAAGTGGTACTTCCTGATTTACCTTAAGGCAAGATCAAGTCATGATTAATGGGGACTGCTACCTCTGGCTGCTGTCCCTCTAGCGCGTTCGATCAATTTTGATGATCGACTTCGACACGACTGATTCCTTCCCACCCCTGCTGGTCTCCCGAGAGGTCCGGGTTGGCCGCTGCTCGACTTGCACGGACTGGCCCTGTAACTGCGTGCTGCTCTTTGCTGCAAGCAGCCCTCGCTTCAGCTGCAGTCTGCCTCTTCTCTGATCCATGTCGGCGTTGAAGGCATTCATTCCTCCTGTCTCAATCGTCCTCTTAGCCTCCGGTCTGGGCCCCATCCAGTCTCTTGCTTGCCAATTCATCCATGCAACTCTGGACGACCAGCAACCTCAAAGTCCAACCACACGCACCACCCCGCGAGCTCCCCTGTCCAACCAGCAGAGCCCAATTTGCCCCCCGTCCGTCAAGCATCAAGCAAAGCTGGCAAGCCTGGCAAATCTGTTTCCTCCCCTTGAAAGACGAATAGCAAAAGAAGAAAAGGAATAGTTGGTCGGCCTCATGTTGCTCTCGCCCAAAATCAGGACCCTCTGTGGGACTCAATGCAACGGCGGGAATCCTTGTCGGGCAAAACTCATGACCTGAGCACACAACAAGCGGCCCTGTTCTGCCCGTAGCTTAATCCACTGCCGCCTCTCCGACCCAGCAGAGGGCCAGCAGAGGTGATCTCGGCTGTTGGGCAAATCCCGTCTGTCCCCGGCGCGTTACTGCTCTCGGCAGCCATGTCACCGTATCACGCGCGGGAAATAGGGGGAGGGGCGGCCAACTACCACCCACGCCTTGCTCTGATCTGACAGGCTGCCCGGACGACACGGCCGAGACGGACGCAGCGGATCAAAGACTGCTGACTGAGACCGACCGACACCCCCGGACAAAACCAACCAACCCATGGACAAACATGACGGACTTCGGGCCCCGTTGCTCCTTCTTTCCTGTCGCTCCCGCTTCTGTCTAGGTTGTAATAAAGCAAGGTAGACATCATCGTCGGCATCAACGAGCACTAGTCCCTCCCGGATATCATGGCAAGACCCAATCGTCAGCGGCATCGGCGCAATCTGTAAATGCTTGCTTGCAACCAACATCTCACATGGTGCCGGCCCTAATGCAGCCTCGCAGAACAATCAGCTCCCTTGCCTACTACCTATGGTGTGTGCATGACGGGAAGAAAGCTGAGCTAACGAGAGCTTCCACCACTCTGAAGTCAGACCACTCGTCGCGAACCACACAGCAAGACCCCGTTCTTCCGCTCTGTTCTGCAGCCTCGAACGGCCCGCAAGTAGACTAAACGTCCGAGTTCGCGATTCCCTTTCCGTGGCCGCCCTATCCATGGCTGCGACTTCAGCAGCGCCAACCAGCCTTGCTTGGCCAGCATGGCAAGTTCGTCATGGGACCTCCCTGCTCGTCTCTGCCGCCAAACCGCCCTCTCTTATTCAACACGCCGTCCGATGCCTCCGCGGGAAGGAGAGGTGCGGACGCAAGTGATGTTTTCTGGTCACCAAAATAATTCACACTCGTCGTGTGTTTGCTCAGCAATGCGCCCAGCGTAGTGTTACACTACTAGTGTTCTCTACTCTGTGCCGTCTCTGCCCAACTCAATGCTGTTCGTCAGTCTCTCCACCACCAAGTGCCCTTGTACGCATCGTCTGCCCTGCCTCGCCAGGCCTCACCGACCACAAGAGAGCAGAGTTGATCCTGGTATTTGAGGGCTGTTAGATGAACGACGCGCGAGCCACGATCCACGTCTTTACACGCAGCACCAAGGATGTGTCGTGTTGTTTGTGCGCAGGTACGTCGAGAGAGTGTAAAGCAAAGTCAGGGCGCGCGCAAACTTGACGATGGGGACAGCAAGCCATTGCAGGTAATCGAACGAGCGACAATGGAGTGAGGGCCGCTCGGATCGTCAGCTGATGAATTGTCGAACGAACGCGGGCCCGAAGGACTGTCTCAACATCGTCGCATGGCATCAACTCGACCGTTGAGAGTTTTTTTTCCTCCCGGGTTCGCACGAGGTTGCAGTTAGACCTGCAAATGACATTGCTTTCTGCAATGTTATTCTGCAATGTCCTTTCTTCTTCGAGGACCCCTTCAATCTCTTGCTCATCTTACACAGCACATGAGAGAAACACCACTACTACTGTATTGTACCACCACCCTCGGCCCCTCATCTCCAAATCTCGATTGCCCCTCGATGCGATGCTGCCCGCCTCGCCACAGATGAGAGAGATCATGATACTGCCCCGGAACCCTCGGCGCAGCCAATGACAAAAGCCCAGTTTGCAGTGTTGTTCGTGTTTACTTTGTCAAGCTGTGGGTAGGTGTGTGTGTGAGCTGTCACTGCAACCCCGGATTACAGGCTTCTACCCAGCAGCATGGGGCATACTGAGACGTTTCCCAGGGCCGCTTTGGCGCCGTTATCGATAGGGGCCGCCTGGAATTCGATCGCAGCTATCGGGCATCGAGCCCGTTGAGACGAATCGAGGCGGGGGAGGGGAGGACGCATGGCAATGCCATAGAGCGCACCAGCCACAGGGCGGGATGAGCGTGGCTTTGCTTCTTGCTAGTCTGCAATGCCATGAACGCCTCACTCGACCTGTGCCAGCCGAGGTCTTGGGCGAGGCGTGCCTTGCATTTGCATGGGCTAGCATGCCTCTCCAATTATGTGCGTAGGTGAATGTGTGTCGTGTGCTTGTCAAACTGGACTGCGCAGTAGCTCAGGTGCCTTACCTAAGACAGCACTAACACGAGCATCTCACTGAGCACTGTTCATCACGGTCCCCCTCCGATGTCCACCGCGGAATTGACGCACCCAAGTACCTTGCCTCCAGAGGCAGAGAGGTTCATGAACCGGAGCAAAAGCCACCGCCCGAGCTCCAATGCGAAACAGCATTCCAGCCAGCTGGACAGACTTCTCTGCTCTGCACTGTATCCCCTTTCTTAGATGAGGAACAGGAACGCGGGCTCTTTGGTGGTGGACGATCCCTCAGATTTCCCCCCACCCCCGGACTCCGGCGTGCTCTTTCTTTCTGGGGGTTGCGTGCCTGCCTCAACCCTTTTTTCGGAATCGTCCCTCGGAATCTGACCCGTCGGATTGCGACGGCACAATTTCCATTCTCTCTCACTCCCCGTCTGCCGTCCTGCTGCTCCCTCCACCTCCGGAATCGCAGATCAACACTTTTTTCTTTTTTTTCCCACCGCAGACCTTCTTTACCCAACGACCCGTTGTAGGTGATACGGACAGTCCAGGACCTTCGTCGTCTCGAAGCACGTCCAGCCAAGCGAGTCAATTAATCACCCAATTCATCCCATATCTCACCGGCTACGATAACCGCCCATCATGACCATCACCAGCGTCACACGCAACGAGCTCTGGAGGCACCCGGACCCCACCTCGACTCCCATGTGGGCGTTCCTGCTCAAGGTCAACTCAAAGTACGGCCTCCAGCTGAACGACTATCCCGGTCTCTACAAGTGGTCCATTGAGAATGTTGCCGAGTTCTGGGAGGAGGTCTGGCACTTCGTCGGCATCACTGCCTCAACCCCCTTCGACAAGGTACGCCGGACCACTCGCTCCGTCCATCACACATTATCCAAAACCAAAAAGAGCCCAGCTTCAACCTCCTATTGCCCATTGCTTCACCCTGCTTGGTACGCCATGACATATCCCAATACCAACGAAATCAATGGGAGACCGTCCATCGTGTGAGATGTGGTGTGAGAGCACCATGAAGATCCAAACTCTACTCTCTCGCCCCGATGCGTGCAAGTGCCAGCAAGAGGAGCAACAGCGGAGATGAGGACGCCGAATCGTCGATGTCAAACCCTCGCCACCAGTGTCTTGAACCCTCGTCAGAAGCTCCCCTCATCAACAAACCTTGGATGCAAGCTCTAGCAAAAGCAGAAAGCTCTGCGTTTTCCAGCACTCCCCCTCATCTGCATAACGAACATCCCATCCTTCTCGAGTCATGCCATAGTCTCAGTCTCGCCCAAGCTTTTCGCCGCCCAAGATGATCAAATCATCATGGGAAATTGCCGAAATCCCATTCCAGACGCTGATCTTGTCCACAGGTCCTCCCTCCCAATGCGCCCATGTACCCCCGACCGGACTTCTTCTCCGGCTCCCGTCTCAACTTCGCCGAGAACCTCCTCTTCCCCGCAAACACCCCGATCGACCCCACCGCCGTCGCAACAATCACAACCACCGAACTCGGCCCCTCAGTCTCCACAACCTGGGCCGACCTCCGCGACTCCGTCCGCCGCTGCTCCGCCGCCCTCCGCGCCCACGGCCTCGGCCCCAACGACATCGTCGCCGGCTTCGTCTCCAACCACCACCAGGCCCTCGTAGCCTCCCTCTCAGCAGCAGCCATCGGCGCCATCTGGACCGGCATCAGCCCGGACAACGGCGTCAGCGCCGTCCTCGACCGCCTCGCCCAGATCTCCCCCAAGGTCCTGTTCGCTGACAATGGCACCGTCTACAACGGCAAGGAGTGGAGCAGCACCGACAAGACGGAAGAGATCGTCAGGGCCCTCGCGCCCAAGGGCCTCGAGTACGTCGTCGTCATCAACAACGTCGCTTGCGACCTCGGCATGGACGGCCTCAAGACGACCGGCGTCGCCGCCGAGGAGTACACCTCCTTCCTCGCATCCGCGCCCAACGTCCCGCTCCACTTCGAGCAGCTGCCGCCTTCCCACCCCCTCTACATCCTCTACTCCTCCGGCACCACCGGCCTGCCCAAGGCCATCGTCCACACCGCCCTCGGCACCCTCATCCAGCACAAGAAGGAGCACCTTCTCCAGGGCTCCCTCACCTCCCGCTCCCGCATGCTCTACTACACCACCACCTCCTGGATGATGTGGCACTGGTCCGTCTCCGCCCTCGCCGTCGGCGCCACCCTCGTCCTCTACTCCGGCTCCCCCTTCAAGCCCGACGGCCACCTCTCCCTCCCGCGCCTCCTCTCCTCCCTCCGCGTCACCCACTTCGGCACCTCCGCCGCCTACCTCACCGCCCTCGAGGCCGCCCAGGTCTACCCCGTCAACGAGCCCGGCATCGACCTCTCCGCCCTCGAGGCCATCTACTCCACCGCCTCCCCCTTGCCCCCGTCCACCTTCTCCTTCGTCTACAAAGCCTTCCCCGCCACCGTCAACCTCGCCAGCATCACCGGCGGCACCGACATCATCTCCCTCTTCGGCGCCCCCTGCCCGCTCCTCCCCGTCCGCGTCGGCGAGATCCAGTGCGCCGGTCTCGGCATGGCCATCCGCGCCGTCGACTCCCTCTCCGGCGGCGCCCTCCCGGACCCCTCCCACCCAGGCGACCTCGTCTGCGTCCGCCCCTTCCCCTGCCAGCCGCTCACCTTCTTCGGCCCCGGCGGCGACGAGAAGTACCGCGCCGCCTACTTCGACCGCTTCGCCGACATCTGCGACGTCCAGGGCGCCGTCTGGCACCACGGCGACTTCGTCAAGATCCCCAACCCGGCCACGGGCTCGCTCGTCATGCTCGGCCGCTCCGACGGCGTCCTCAAGCCCGCGGGCGTGCGTTTTGGGTCTGCCGAGATCTACAACATCCTCACCCGCTTCTTCCCCGCCGAGGTCGAGGACGCCGTCTGCGTCGGCCGCCGCCGAGCCACCGACTCGGACGAGACCGTCTGCCTGTTCGTGGTGCCCGCGGCCGGGCAGACGTTCGACGACGAGCTGAGGGCAAAGATCAAGAGCGTCATCCGCAGGGAGCTGAGCCCCAGACACGTCCCCGGCGTCGTGGAGGAGTGCGGCGGTGGCATCCCCAAGACGGGCAACGGGAAGAAGTAAGTATCTCTGCTCTGTCTTTCTCACTTACATGAGTTTGGTTGTGGCTAACACACCGCGTAGGATCGAAGTCGCCGTCAAGCAGATCCTGTCCGGCATGAACATCAAGACCAACGCCTCCGTCGCGAACCCCGAGGCGCTGGAGTGGTTCCGCGCGTGGGCCGCGGCGAACTAAGTCACCTAATATTGTGTTTTCGTTGTTGCTCCTTCTGGGCCGGTTTGTGGTGACGAAGTCTCTCATACATGCGGCCATGTGGAGAGAGAGAAGGGGGGAAGAGAGATTTGTCGCGTGATCGCCGCCTTGCTGCATCCCCCATCCATCTTCCGCGTGGGGGTTTACTTGCCAAAATGAGGGTGGGTGGGCCGAGGCGCGGCGACCCCCACGCGCCGCCTGGCCCTGTCTGCCCATCTCCTCCAGCCTGTCTCTGTCTTTTTGCACTTTTCGGAACGGACCGAGGACGGGGGGCGGGGGGGGGGGGGGGGGAGATATACATGCGTGCGCCCACTAGTAGTGTTGACCCGATCGTTCGGGTTGCAACGTGGAGGAGGATGGACGATAAGCCAGTCGGAGGAGGGGAGGGTGTGAGTTTAGAGTCCGCCTTGGGTCTTGTCCTTTTTATTTTCGACTACATCTCTTCATGTTGCGGCCTTGCCTTGGGAATCTAGATGGCATTTCTTATGGTTACTGATGATAGAATGTGTCGGCCCAGACTTGGGACTGGGGACACTGTAATACATGATAGAGGCTGTTGAGTGATTGGGGTCTTGGTCACATAAAATTGAACGCCATGATATCAGGATATTTGACGGATTTCGTGATGCCATCGTGAACAGCCAGACTTTGCTCAAGATCATCACAGATTCGGAAAATGACTGCTATCACGAAAGACGAAGAACGTGACGTCGAAAGGTAGAGTAAACATAGAAATATTGATATTGATAAAAAGGTCGGCCATCTCTGTGACCAGGCTAGTCATGACGATAATCATACCCATTAACTCCTATTATGATGCATTCGTCCATGCAGGGGGGACAGTGCCCTCTCTTGCTTTTTGTCTTCCTTCTCTTCCCATGCTTTGTTTTCTTTTCTCTTCGCACCACCCATGCGTGTATCCCAGCCATTAACAAACCCCCAATAATTCCAATATCCTATATCATGCAAACAGAAAAACAGAGTTGCGCCGATTCTAGAGTCCCAAAAGGGAGCCTCTATTGCATCTTGGACATACGCTTGGCCATGCTGTGAAGGAGTTAGTCAACTGTCTCGTGTTTCGTGTTTCATGGGGGTAACTTACAAGTCGTAGAAAGCAAACTGGCTAGGCTGGCTGCCAAACTGGTAGACAAACCTCGAGGCGAGGTAGCTGCCGAAGATGGCGCGCAGGTAAGAGTCGGGGACGCGCTCGATGATGGTGTCGAGACCAATCTTCTCGATGAGAAGGTTGGGCAGGGCGTCCTGGAGAACGGAGCGGCGGATCTGCTCGTTCTTCCAGAGGTCGGAGTGCTGAAGCTCCTCGTCCAGGGTGGTGATGGCGTTGGACAGGTTGTCGGACAGGATGCTGCGGGGAGTACCAGTCTCCTCGTGCTCGCGCCAGATGGCCTCGAACTCGAGACGGGCGTTCTCGCAGATCTTCTCCTGGACGGACTTGACGTAGTCCTGGTAGAATTGAGGAGCCTGGCCCTTGGCGTCGTGGCACATGTGCTTGAGGAAGTTCTCGTCGTCGAAAGCCAACGAGGCGAGAACCTCAAGGGAGGAAGAGGTGACACCTCCCTTATTAGCACTGGCGTCCTTGTACAATATGCAGCCGGCCTCCTCGAGGCGGAGCTTAGCGTCCTGAGTGATGAACAGGTTGGCGCCCTCGACCAGGTAGGGGATCGTGGACTTGCCATCCTTGATGATCTTGTTAACGGAAATCAGGTCAATCGACTCGGGGCGACCACCGCAGGGAACGAAGCAGTCGGTGAGACCAGTGTCGCGCAGGTGGTAGGTGTTGCGGAAGGTAGTGCCGTTGGAGATGAACTCGCCAGTGGGCAGGTTGATGTTGCTGTCATCACAGAGAATGCGGTATCCGTCCTTGGAAAGCTTGGACATGTCAAAGTTGTTGATCATGGCACGAGCTTTGGCCAGGCGCAGAAGCTCCTCCTTGTCGAGTCCGTTGGGGTCAACGAGGACACCGGATCCGTCAACAATGGAAGTGTACTTCTCGTTGCTGAGGAGGATCTCGTTGCTACCCAGGTCACCGTCGGGGCCACCGGTCTGCATCTTCCTGACCGTTGAGGGGTCAAGGTTGAGCTTGCGGTAGATGCCCTTGACGTACTCACGGACGGACAGGGTGGTCATGCCGTAAGTGTCGTGGGGAATACCACCGAGCTTGGGCGACTTGCCGGTGAAGAACGACTTCCACCAGGGTGCGCCGCGAGAGCGGGCGTGGTGAGTAGCCCAGTTGACAAGCTCTGCCGTGTTCTCATCAGGACCCATGAAGAGGATCTCCTCCTTGCCGTACAAGTCCACAATGGGGTTCTTAATGCCGGGGGAAGAGGCAGGCAGCAGGAGATCGAGGATACTGTCAATGTACTTCTCGAAAGCCTCCTCAGCGCGGTCCTGCATCTTGGGGTCGAGCAGGATGACACCCTTGGAACCACCCTCGGGAATGTCCTTGTTCTTGCGCTGCTGAGTGCTGGCAAGACCGTAGTTCTCGTCGAAGAGGTTGCGGGCGTTGATGCTGTAGGCCTCCTTGCTGCGAGACTTGACGATACGGATACCACCACGAGCGATGTCCTTAAACCGGAGGTGGAACCCACGGGACTCGGCGCCAATGACCAGGAACATGCCGTAGAGACGCTTGGGGTACTCGATCTCGGGCAGGAAAGAGGGGTCCAGGCGGAAGCTCAAGGCGACCTTGGTGGGAGTGAAGTAGTTGGTCTTCAGGATGGCATTGTTGAAGACGCGGAAGGCAGTCATGACCATCTCCTCGTGCTCGTTGGAGACATCACGAGTGATGCGCTCCTTGAGCTTAGCATCGGACAGAACCTCGATGGCGGGGGTGGGGGCGATGAAGTGACGGTCGAAGTCGGGGCCGACGGCAAGGTGCACCGAGGCGAAGGAAGCGTACAGAATGCGGACGAGGCCAGGGTAGGACTGAATGATCTCCAGGATGTAGTCGGGAGTGAAGGTTTCCGTCCTCAGGCGGCGCTTCAACTTGGACAGGAGAGCGGTCTGGGTCGGGTTGTTCTGGTCCAGAATCTGGGACAGAGAAACGTACTCGGAACCCAGACGGTTCAGGAAGTGCTGGATAAAGACCCAGACGCAGTGTCCGTAGACAGTCTCCTGGAGGGAGAGCTCGCCAGTGCTGAAGAGCGAGTGCAGCTTGTTCTGAGGCAAGCAGTACAGGAGAGAAATCTCCTTGGTGATCTGGTGGATGGACTGGTCCAGAGGAGGGAAGTTGCCCTCGATGTTCATAGCAGGTCGAAGGTAAATACTCATAACGGTGATACCGTTCGCGAACTGCTCGACGTACTTTCTGGAGCTGGTGACACCGTAGTAGTGGTACAGGTCAGAAAGGGCAGAGAACAGGCCACGGGCGGTGCGAGAACGGAAGGCAATAACAAGGCGCTTCTCGGCAGAGCCCTCAATGTCGAAGACCTCGATGACAGGGCCGGTTCTGTTGACAGCAAGCTCGATGATCTCCTGGTAGATCTGCTTGGTGTTGTTGGTGGCCTTCTGGAGGAAACCGTGGTCGGCAATGACCTCGAGACGGGTCTCGTGAGGGTCGGTCGTCTCGGGGCTCTGCTTGAAGAGGCACTGGTAGACGAAGTAGCAGCGAAGGGTGGCCTTGGATGCGGGCGATGCGCCCAAAACACCAGGAGAGCGGAAGGTCTCGACGCGGAACTTGGTCTTGCCAACGTGGTCCAGGTACTTGGCCTCGAGTCTCTGCTCGTATCGCGGGCCGCCGACCGAAGTCTTGCCGGGCTCGCTCGTGTCGATGTAGATGGCGTGGTCTGGGGCCTCCATGTCGAGTCTGATCTCCTCGCGCTTGTCCTCGCGCGCGAACGCGGCGACCTTTGCGGCGTATAGGGAGGTGATCTGGCTCGCAATGACCTCGGGGCTCTCGATCTTAAAGTAGACATCGTCGATGCCAAGCTCGTCGTAGAACCACGTTACTTGCTCGTCGACGAGGACCTCGGGAATCCAGCCGTTAGTCTTGAGAAGTCCACGGACTAACACGCAAGTCAGCATCACTCAATAGCCATAGTTTTGAAGCTCGGGACTTACCCTGGTCCATCTGCTCGAGCTTGCCGACGAAGGTGGGCGCAACGTAACCGACTGTCGCGGAGCGCAGGACTCTGTGTCCGTTGCCGTTGGCGCGAGCAGCCATGGGAACGCTGAAATGTGTGGGTTGGGGAGAGGGGCCGCGGCTGCTCTCTGCTGAGTCGGCCTGGACCTGACCCAGCATCTTGTTGCGAGGGGGGGCGGCGGTCGCCATGATGTCGCCTATTTCCTCGGTGGGAGAGATATCCTCGTAATTAGGAAACCTGTCCATGGTAGGAAGGTCAGTATTGACGTTTAAGGCCAACATTGTGTGTGTAGGCGTAGTATCAAAGCAGCATGGGATCGGGAGGTGGTGGGAGAGGATTGGGTTTGACGGGATGACGAGAGGGAAGCTGAGCAGAAGGGGCGGCGCCCCAAAGGTCTAAGTACCCGGCCCAACAACGACCCAACGAAGCATCGCAGCAACCAGGAGAGTTACATGATGAGAGTGAGTCAGCCTCGGACTGGCTGGCAGCACAGAACAGCTCAGCTCTTGGAGCGCCCGTAGCAAAAACCGGGATCGGTAGTGGCTCGTGTGATCTAGAGCAGGCTTTCTTCTCTAGAAGGCGGCTGGGAATGGAACCGAGCTGTCTAGGTGCAGGTACAGGCGCAGGCGCAGGTGTAGGTGAAGGTGCAAGGTGCTATCTCTCAGGGAAACGCAGGAATCGAGAGAGCAACGGGAAGAGCATTGAAGCCTCACCGCTGGACGCTCGTACATGGACAAACATGATGTACTGATAAGGCAAATAAAGAAGGGCAAGGGGGTGGGGAATGGGCGATGCGATCAGGAAGAATCCGTGAACGTGGACGGACGTACCTTGCGTCTCGGGAGGCTAGTGCAATGCTGATCCGATTCAAATATACGGGAC